TAGTTTTTTCTATTTTTAAAGTTTCTAATTTTTTTTTTTTTTTTTCTTTTTAAAATTTTTGGTTAAAAACTCAGACACAAATACACACATTAGCCTAGGCCTACACAGGGTTAAGAACATCAATATCACTCTCTTCTACCTCCACATCTTTTCCCACAAACCAAGATGTTGGCCCAACTAAGTGCCCCAGGCAGTAGGGGTACTGCTGTGAGATACTTGAGGCAATATGGGAGGACTTCAGTTTTGAGGACTGTAGCATGAAGACCCTTTAGAAGGTGCCATCTTCTCTCTCTCTCTCTGGAGATAAAAAACTTTAAAAGTGAGATAAAGGGGCCAGTGTATGGCATGGTGGTTAAGGTACTAGACTCCCACATGAATGACTACAGTTCAAGTCTCAGACTGGTAGCTTAAAACTCACATGGGATGCATGTGTGCGCACGCCCAAAATCTTGAAAGGAGAATGGTGAGGAAGGAATTGAGGCATGGCCATCCCTCCTGTGGTGATTTCTCACTTCCTCTCTCATAGTCTCTGTCCCTCTCTGGTGAGTGCACATGCCCCATGGCAAAAGCCTAAAAATAAAAAAAGATAAAATCAAGCCTACAAGAAAATGATGTAATAAGAAACATGATGAACATGAGGTATATGAAATGCAACATAGCCTACTGTTAATAAGGAGGAGTCCACTCTAAAATAACAGTAAAAAGTATGTACATACACAGACCAATAATATGGCTGTTTATTACATGATCAAATATTATGCACAGAACATAATGATATGTGTTATTGCTGGAAGCCCTGCTCCAGCCAGGGTGGGTCAAAACTCGTACACAGGAAGGCGACACGGTTGATCAGGAATGAGACTGAGACCTTATGCCCTTTAGCGTGTTCTCAGCCGACTACAGCCAGAGCAAGCTCAAGACTGCAGCCCTGATGGCTAGGGGACATACGTATTTATTATTGAAGGAGTTTTATAGGAGTAGGATGGGTGAGGGGAAGTAAGTAAAAGATTTTACCACAAAAGGTAAAGCATTCAAAGCATAGGAACAATCATCATAAAACATAACATCTGTTTTGTTTAGGTATAAACAGTCATAATCCTTAGAATGAGGAAGTCCATTTGTCTGGTGCATCCTCTCCTTAGATCTTGATTACCGAGAAGGGTCTTTCAGATGAGAGGGCTCCCAGGAATCTTAATAACCTCAGTTCCAGGGCAGCTTTATGACTTCAGTCCCAGATCAGCTTGAGAACTTGAGTCCCAGATCAGCTTGAGAACTTGAGCCCCAGGCCAGCTTGAGAACTTCAGCCTCAGGCTAGAGAGGCAGCAGATTACCAGTTACAAAGGCCTAGATAAAAATCCTGTATGGTTAAGTAAAGACAAGGTTAACATACTAAAGTGGAATACATATATTATCTCTGGGGTAATCCACAGCTGAGAGAGTGAGTCTAATGTCTACATGGGAAAGGAATGTGGCCTTGTGAGCAGCTTAATGACTGACCTAACGGTTACTGTGTACTTGGGACCCTCTACATGCTGCTCTATACAATGGCTGGGGCTTTGGGGACGGCAATCTTCCTTGTCCTGGGATTGATTAAAGGTGGCTCATGGTCTTTGGGGGATCAGCACCTCGTGGATGAGTCCCTGAGCCCCTCCCAGCTACTGAGATCATTTCACCAATTTAGTAGCTTTAACCTAAACCTTCCTAATGCTTATCTATGTAATCCCCAGTAGGAGAAGTGAATGTGGCATTCTTTATTGACATTTTCCAGGAGGGTGGGGTGAATCTAATGGGAGTAATTCCCATTCGCAGCCACCGCCTTAGTGGATCTACATTCCTTCAGGATTATTGTAAAAGTTATAGTAAGGCTGGGGTGCCTTTATGGGGTACCAGGGTATGGCAATAAGGCCCATGGCAGAGAAATTGAGTGCAGGCCAGTACAGCAACACAATGGAGGACCAGAACTCATAAACTGTTGACCTTACTAACAGTTCTCCTAGCTGAGTCCTTGCTTTTAGCCATGAGGGGCAGTTCTTTTATATTCAGCTTGTGTTAACTGCATGGTCCCAACATGTTATACTTACAGGACTTGCAACATGGTTGGTTTGTTTCTACAAACTTCTAAGTCATGCATTGTACTGTAGTGTTAGGACAGCTACAGGTCACTAGGAGATAGGAGTTTTTCAGCTCTATTATGGGAGAAGGGGCTCCTAACATTATATATATGTTCTTTGTTGACTGAAATGTCTTTATGTACCACGTAATTGTGAAAAGCAGCAGAAGAGAAAAAAAAAGTATTATGAGAGATAATACTAACAGAGCTTATCTCGCTTAGTTGGAGCGGTTGGCAGAAGACTCTTTGAAGAAGTGATATTTAGTCTGGAACTGAAGGTTTCCTAGGATCTGGTCATATAAAGATGGGGCAGAGGTAGAGGGGTGGAGTAAACAGCCTTCCAGCTGATGGGAGCATCTTAAATCAAGGCCCTGAGGTAGAAAGGACTTAGCAGATACAATGGTCTGAAAGCCCATTGTGAACCTGGGCTTTCATTGTGATGAGAGAGGAAGAGGGTAAAAGGAGGTACACTGGGGGCCAGCAGGTGGCATGGTGGTTAAGGCACTGAACTCTCACATGGCCAGCTATGGTTTGAGTCCAAGATCCGGTGGCTTGAAAATCACACTGGATGTGTGTGCACGTGTGCCCCAAATCCCAGGAGAGTGGAAGAGAAGGGGTTGCTATATGGCCATCCTCTCAGATGGGTGATTTCTCACTTTTCCTCTCACTATTTCTCTCTGTCTTTCTGATAAGGGCACTCACCCTATGGCAAAAACCTAAAGGGGGTTGGGGAGTATACACTGGAGAGTTAGGAAGAGCTCAGGAAATGCAGGGTCTTGAAAGTCATGGCAAAGAGTTTAGAATTTATCCTAAAGACAGTAGAAGTCACTAAAATGTTATTTTAACAGTAGTCTGATGTAATCAGATTTTCATCTGCATTAGTGGCAACTGAACGAATGATATGACCACCTCAAAAAAATGGATCACTGTCCCAATTGGCTCTGATATATTTATTTATTTAGAGAGATTTTTGCTATAGGGCACATGGGGTTGCTGGAGAGACAGAGAGACAAAAAGCAAGAAATTATCCCTCAGAGTGGATGGCCACACTACAATCCTTTCTCCTCCATCCTTCCCTTGGGATTTAGGGCATTTACACACATGTGCCTGGCATGAGTTTCAAGCCACTAGGTCTGGGACTGCAGTCAACTACGTGGAAGTCCAGTGATGTAACCATTATGTCATCTGCTGGTCCCATGGGCTCTGTTTTAGAAGGATTTTTCTGTGTGGTCCAGGCCAGCTGTGAGCTCCCAGTCCTGCCGCCTCAACCTCCCTGACCCACTGGGATTACAAGCATATACCATAGTCTGTACATTGGTTTCCCAGGAGTGTTGATTTCATTTGAATCTCCCTGTAAAATGTTGCAAGAATGAGTTTTGCAAAAACAAATCCTACTGTCTCACTTCCCTGCCTAAAACCTTCTCCTAAAGGTTTGATTCGAGGAGTCAACCAGTTTCCTAAGAGACCCAGGGTTCTTAACAGCTGGAGCTCAACAGCTTGCCCTGCTCCTCTGCAGGTTTCTCTCCCACATCCAGCTTCCACTCAGGAACTGTGCAAACCTCATTCTTGCAACATTTTACAGGGAGATTTGGCCTTGAGAAAGGCTGGTGGCAGAGACTACCGAGGAAGCCATCTCAGTGTATTGGGTGAGAGATAACGTTTCTGACCTCAGGCAATAGCAGCAGGAAACGTAAGAGCAGGAAGGAAGTGCTGAGAGAGGGCCAAAACATGACTCAAGTGAAATCAACATTCCTGAGCAACCAGCTAACTGGGGAGAGGAAAAGAGAGGAGTTGTGGCCAGGAGGAAGGACTGCAGGAGAAACAGGCAGTATGGAGAGTAGGAGTGGACTGGGCAGAATGTGGCAGAATGTGGAACTAATGTTTTCATATTGGTTTGGTAAGGTGAGAGAGCTAGAGTGATAGTACCAGATATTCTAACACATAATAATAATAAAGCATAAAGTTTGAAAAGTAAAAATCTCTAATAAAATAGAAAATAAGGATTTATGGGAGGTTAATTTAGTTTATGTGGAGGAATGATTGGGTATGAAGCTGAATACTTGGAAGTTATTGGCAGCTCAATGGTATTTGAGGCCAGGGAGAAGGGTGAGGCTAGCCCAGGTAGAGTTGCCAACTTCTGTTAAAAAACAAACAGGGGTCAGCAGATGGTGTAATGGTTATCTCGCTTGACTTCCATGTAGTCAACCGCAGTCTGAGCTCTCACTTACTGTCTCTCTGTCTCTTCCGTGAGAGCACGCACCCTATAGCAAAAAAATAAATAAATAAATAAAATAAATAAATAATTCTTTCTTTAAAAAAAACAAATAAATAGGACACACAATTAAATTTTAATTTCAGGTGAGGAAGGAATAGATTTTAAATACATTCCATGCAATATTTAAGAAATACTTGTCCTAAAAATTAATTATTATTTACCTGAAATTCAAGTTTAATGTATTTCTTCTGACAACCCTCACGGGACTACGAGCAGAAGTGCCTGCTGGGACCAGCAGGTGCAGCACATAGTGGAGGGTGGCGGTGCGCAATTTAGAGGACCAGCTCCAGCTGGTTGGGTTTGTGAAGATGGTCAAGATGGTCATAATTGTACCCAGTATGCTAATGTTTCAGAACAGAGTAGAAATGGATGTGTTATTGTGTTATTGTTGTTGTTTGTTTTGCCAAAGGGTGTGTGTGCTTGCCAGAAAAACAGAGAGGAGAGCAAAAATCACCCCTAGGGGTACAGCCATGCCTGAATCCTTTCTCTTCTCCTTCATTCTCCTCTTGGGATTTTGAGCATGCATGTCCACATGCTCAGCATGATTCTCAAGCCACCAGGTCCAGGATTCGAACCATAGCCAGCCATGTGGGAGCCCAGCACCTTAACCGCCACATCACGTGCTAGCCCCCAAATGTATGTTTTAATGTGGACTCTCTTGATCTTAAGAGCAGGCAACCAATGAAAAGAGAAACATTGTGAAGTACAAACAAAGCAGGTCTGTAGGGTGAGCCATATGGGCCACCACTTCGCAGCCTCTGATCTAATCTCAGTAGTGGGCTGAACAGGATTCTAACCTGTAGATCATGGTGATTTGCAATGTCAGGCTAAATAGTTGGGAGTGAAAAAGGGAGACAGCAGGGGAGGATCTTGCCTGAACACGCCCACTGACACTCCCCCTGTCTCTGAGTAGCAGCTAACACAGTGCTGTCTCACTACCATCCTGCTCTGCAGGACCCTAGGACATGAGCCCAAGCTCACCTGCCTTCTCTGGTAGCACAGTGATAGCAATTGGGGCTTTGAAGGCTTTCATCAGAAACTTGTGGGCGGAAACTTCCAGGGGTTTACTCTGAGCTTCTTGAGGCTTCTCAGCCTCAGATGCAAAGTGAGTGGGTGTCTCTGTGAGAAGCAGAAAAAACGAAAGAAAGAGAGCGGGAGAGAGGTGTTCCCCTCGACTGTGGAAACTCTATAAAGAGAGACCAGCCTCCCTTCTCTCGAGCAGTCAGCACCCGCAGTCCCATCCTTGACCCCTCAGCTCTACAGAAGTGAGAAGTAAAACCCTGAGCCATGCAGCAGCCCTTCAATTATCCATATCCCCAAATTTACTGGGTGGATAGCAGTGCCAGCAGTCCCTGGACCCCTCCAGGGTCAGTCCTCCCCTGTCCATCCTCCGTGCCCAACAGGCCAGGCCAAAGGAGGCCACCGCCGCTGCCGCCAGCACCACCACCACCACTGCCCCCACCGCCACCTCCAGCGCTGCCCCCACTGCCTCCTCCACCTCTGAAGAAGAGAAGGGAGCACAACCCAGGCCTCTGTCTCCTTGTGATGTTTTTCATGGTTCTGGTGGTCCTGGTTGGAATGGGCCTGGGGATGTTTCAGCTCTTCCACCTACAGAAGGAACTGGCCGAACTCCGAGAGGTAAGCCTGGCTGGAGAGCGCTGAGCGGAGTCACTGGGGATAGAACAGCTCTGCTGGAGAAGGGGGTGGGCTACTGTGGGCCACTGCTTTCCAGTCATTTTTTTTTTCTTTTTGCCTTAGAAATGGATCATTTTAGTCATTCTATTTTTATGGGCAGAGAAGCCCAAATGAGTGAAAGAAATGTTTTCTGTGTTGTAAGCCATCATAGCCAGATCATTCCTTTCTCAGCTGTGGAAGTCCGTCTATTGAGCCACTTACTGCCTCATACCTTGTGATTTAAGGAATAACAAGAACTTTGAGTTTTGCTTAGAAGTGAATCTGTTCAAATGTCAAACTAAAGCTCTTTGAAAATACTTTAACTGGACCAGCCTGGGGCCTGGTGGTTGAGGCAGCTGGATCCTACATGGCCAACTGTGCCATTTGAGTCCCAGACTTGGCCGCTTGAGAAACACCCTCGGTCTGTGAATGTGTGTGTGTGTGTGAGAGAGAGAGAACATGTGCCCAAGATTCCCAAGGAGGGAGAAATGGAGGGGAAGGGATTGTGGAATGACCACAACCCATGGGGAGTGGATTCTTGCTTTCCAGTTCTCTCTCTCTCTCTTTGCTTCTCTCCTGTGAGTACACATGACTTCTGGCAAATTTAAAAATACATATATTGCCATTATTTCAAGACACAAAACTGAGGAATGAGGAGAGACAATTGCTTGGCCAAAGTAAAACCCTGGTCCATGGAGCAGCCCTTCCTGAGTTAAGAAAGGTTCTAAGATATTTGAATTATCTTTAAAGGGCTTGGTTTGTTTGACATTTCTGCATCCTTTGCTCAAATAACTTTATATTTAGTATATGTCTTTTCTCTTCTTTTGCTAGTCCACCAGCCAAAGGCACACAGTATCATCTTTGGAAAAGCAAATAGGTGAGTCCTTTTATACATGTACATTGAGCTCCCGAAGATAATCTTCGGCACTGAATCATTATGGTGGAATGCCTTGAATTCCATCCCACTCTCAGGCCAATGTATTCTATCAGAGGAGTCTGGCTAATTCTGAATCTCTAGTCAATGTGGTACGTGGAGTTGCTTTAAAATATGAAGTGAATTTAGTTGCTCAAAGTAAGTGTAGCCAAGCACTGCACACAATTCAAAATAATTTTCCCTTGACTTCAGAAAGAGACACGTATATAAGCATGGGCCTTTGTCCACCTTGCAGCCAGCTCCAGGCCTCTTCCCTTCCCCAGGCTTCCTGGTTCCGGCACACAGCAGTGGCTATAACCACTAGGAAGAGGAGAGGAAGTGAGGACAGAGACACATGTTCCTGGAAAATGTCTTCTTGTTATCTCTCTAAAGAGATTACTCAAGAGTCAGTCTTTATTTTAAAAATATTCCATAGGATATAAATAAGCTTTTAAAAATCAGATGACCAACCACTAGGATATTTGGACATTTCTTTTGAAGTCACTGGTACGTTTGGGGAATGACTTTAGCCATTGTTCAAAGGATTGTAGAATTTTAGCAGCAGAGTCACCAACTACCCTCAATAATAGAGGAAAATCCCTTGTGTGAGATTCAGGACAGAAAGAAGGTGAAAATGTTGAACATCGACCTCATGAAATTTCAGGGCAGTTTTGGACACAATGGAAAGAAAGATTTTAGACTATTCTTCTCTTGTCTTAAATAAGATTCAATGAATTTCTCGATTTGCTTAGAGGAGAGCCTAAGGTGTGTCCGGTCCAGCTATCTTATTATGCAGAAGTGACACAAAATACCAGACAGATGAGATGAGATGTTGAAGGCTCCCAGTGTGGAAGTGGGGCTAGGAGGAAACAGGCTTCTGATGCCACCACGTTGCCTGATGCTAATGCTTTATAAAACAGGGACACTCCTTACAGTTGCCATGAAATGAGTAGATGAAAAGCAGGAGCCCTCTGCGAAGACAAGTGAATCTCATCCTTAGAAATTGAGATGAAAACAGAAGGCAGTAATGGCCATCCACTAAGTGGAGCCATTCCATTTTCTCAGGCTATACCCACCGTGGATAGCTGGACCAGTCCTGTCCTGAAATGTGAGCTCTTGCAGAAGCCATTGTTGCAATGTTCTACTCCTGAGTTCTGTGTCCAAGACACGAAGAGTTAGGAACTCCAGATGTGCGTAAACCAAGTGCAAATGTTTGTTAGGAAGATGAAGCCTCTAGAGGACTTCTAAAATAAAATCATTGTGACAATCAGTGGAATGTGGCTGGTGAAGCAAATTCCTAATTACTCATCTTTCACCCACTCTCTGGAGTCATGTAGTGATTAAAAGTCAAATGAACAGATGAGTCAGGTGTACCTACCTCAGCTAACAGTGGCCTTCTCTAGATCAACCCAGGCAATCATAAAATTGGTGAATTATCACATGGAAATCAAATTAGTAACTTTATTAAGAAGAGATACAAATCTAAATCTAAACAAGGGGTTACCTATATTCATCATTTAAATAAAAAATAGCAAACCCAGTTTGGCAAAACTGTGAGAGGAAAGGGCCTGCTTAAACATTGGTTTCAGCCAGTGTACATGTAGCTTTTCTGAAGAGCAGTTTCAAGCATAGCGATAGCTTGAAATCATGAATTCACCTTGTAATCCCATCAATAAAACTCATCTTTAAAACAATCAGAGATGTGCCTAAAGATTTACATATTACAATGTTCATCCCTCCTTTATGAGGCTATTTATAATAAAGAGCTCTGAGGAAACTTAAATGCCTCATAACAGATCAGCTAAATACATTGTGGTGTATTCAGACAAGAACATAATAGTAACTAAAAACCATATATCAGAAAGGCATTCAGTGCCACGGGGATTGGGCATTCTTTATCGTCAGATAAAAAGGCAAGTTACAAAAGGGTATATTTAGTTTAGTATTGACTATGTAAGTGCATAAGTGTATGTTCATAGTTTTAGAAAAGAACTAGAAAGTTTTACACACCAACATGTTAACAGTGATGTTTATCTAGGAGGTACTATTATAGATTATACTTTCTTATTTGCTACTTTTTTAAATTTCCATTTTTTCGAGTTAACTAGCTAAATCTTTTATTCATTCACAAATGTTCTTGGAGAACTTCCTATGCACCAGGCTGGGTGCTGGGTTGTGGGTGACGATGGAGAATGAGACAGAAAAAGGAGCCTGTGTCTTGAAAGAGCTTTAAGCATGGCAGAGAAGATAAACAAAAGCAAGCAAACAAATCACATAATTTCAAATTGTATTAAGTTAAATCCAAGATGGAGTGATCTGAAACATCCCCTCTAAGAAGGTGTTGTTTATGCTGATGCCTGAGGAATCAGGAGCTCACCAAGTGAAGAGTTTTATGTGTGTGCTTAGAGTGGGTAGAGGGATGGCAGAGAACCTTGCCTGGGGCTGGGAATGGCATGTGCAAAGACCCGGGGGCAGCAGTCATTGCCAACGTCTAGGATAAATTTCCAGGTTATTTATTCCAGTATTTATCCAGCAGATATTTTTTAATAAATATCTGCTCTGAGAATCACCTATTACAAGGCTCTGTGAAGGATATAAAGATACGCACGTGTGGTTTTCTGTTCCATTTCCTGTCAGCACATGGCCTGATGCCAGCTCAGCTTCTCAGATGGTCTGTGGTGTAAGAATGCAGAGGAGACTCAGTTTTACCTTTCCTGTTCATTAACACCTCATTAATGGGCGGTTGTCTTGGGTAGTCATGATTGTTCATGATCAGGCAATGCTTTCAGCACACTGGGCCATTCTCACATCATAGATGAGTTCCCCAGGCTAAAACAAGCCCAATACGCTCAAGCACCTTTCAATAGTCTCTTTTGAATGTCTCAGCTGAATGCATTCCCTAAGTAATAGCTCTCCACCCTGGCTGACATTCTTGAAGTCAGTAGAACTAGTGTTTATTATGAGAAATATTGTCAGATTAACCCCTGCCATTTAATCTGGGAAATTTTACTGGTCACATGCCCTACATTATACACTGAGCTAAATACTCTGGTGAAACCAACACATAGTAAGGAACTTGCCTTTTACTTGGGGAAGAATAAAACAAGTAACATAGTTAACACAAAAAAAGAGGAGACAGAGGAAACCAGAAAGGAGAGATAGAGAGATCCTAGGTCTTAAAGGAGCAGAAGACCGTATTTGATTAAAATGGCTTGGACTGATTTTCCAAAGAGAGATATATATTTTAGAGAGTCCTTCTAGGATTGCTAGAGATTTGACACAGAGACCTGTCTGGGAGGCCGTTTTGTGCAGATGGCCCAGAGGTGGGAAGTGGGGTATGTTCAGGGCACAGAACTCCCACTCAATGCCTCCTGCGAGTGGGGAGAGGAGACAGTTGGGGCAGACAGGCTAAGAGTTGTGACAGAGGACTCGTCTGCGGCTACACAGTCAGTGAAGAGCTGTCAAAGGTGTTCGAGCCTCATGGTGATTGTTTGAGACAATTAAACAATTAATGAGACAATTAATCAAGAACAGACTGTGTTCTGTTATATTATTGGGGGAGACCTGGTGGCTAGAAGGTAGATATTCAGCAGCTTCCTCGGCCTCTGTCTTAAAGAGCTCTGTACTTGGACTCAGAAGTCCTCAATGTTGGTCCTGTCTCCGACATTGAATACAGGATCTTCTTGGACTAGTTACCAACTTCTAAGCTCTTTGGCCATTAATAAATTTGGACAGTAATCCCTACCTCACAGTGTTGTAGTAAATTCTAATGATACAACTACTGTTTATGGCTCAATGCTTATACTGTAACCTTGTAATTGACACATATGTCTGTCTTAATTTGGCTGATTTTTCTTTGACCTCAATGTTTCTGAAATATAGATGACTGTGAGAACTACAGTCTGAACCTGCAAGATCAATCTATGTTAGACTGTTGCCATATATAATTTTTAAATCTTTTATTTAAATAGTGGGATTTAGAGTCCCACCAAAATAATAGTTGGTATCTAATTTTTACATATATTCTTCATCTCTCCGTGATGCAGGTGGCCCCAGTCCTCCTTCTGAAAAAAAGGAGCTGAGGAAAGTGGCCCATGTAACAGGTCTGTATCTGGAATGTCCAGGTGGGATTTGGCAAAGCCTTTGGCAAAAGGCAGAATGATTGTCTGGTCTTCATTATGGGCTCTGAGAGGCTGGTTAACTTTGCAGTGACAGGATTTAGCACTCCAGAACGCTCACATCTTTCCAGTCAGCTCTGTCTCACAAACACATGGAGGCCCTATCCAGCACGGACCTGCCCTAAACTAGAGTGAGAACATCATCTATACCATGTCCTTGCCCATAAGAAACTCATTCTTTTCTAATCATTCGGAAGACCCTTAGGGCATTTGTAGCACCGGTCCAAAGAAGAGAGTTCAGAAGGTGGTGGATGCTTAATTATTTCAGTTAGTGCTTTCTTAACTTTTAGGAGAATTTCACTCTATTTTGTTCAAGAATAGACACAGGAGTGAGAGGGGAGAGCCAGTCTTAGCCTAAAGTCAGGAACTGTGGGCTTTCAGCTGGTGATTGCAATGCAGAGCAAATGACTTGCTGGCCACGTGGTGGGCGCTCCCACTGTCAATTCCTAAGTATCTGAAAAGTACATGACTAACACTGGAAGTGGCGTGTCACTGTTCATGGAATTACTGGGCAGAGAGACTGTTAGAATAAACCAGTTGAGTCAACAAACATTGTGCACCTGCTGTATGCCAAGCTTTGGTGGCACAAAGATGAATAACACATAGTTCCTGCCTTTAAGGAGCTTGATATCTAATTGGAAAAGACAGGCACATGGCATTAATTTCAGCACTAGAGAGAGGTCTCTGACTATGGTATATACATAATCATAAGATCCATCCCAACTTCAGAACTTCAGAGCTCTTTGGAGTTGGCTTTTTCCCTTTGTGGAGGGATTTCAAAGCCTAGTTGTTTAGAGTCCAGTTCTGAAGATCATAAAATCTTTGTTCTAGAGAGCTAAAGCTATCTCAATAATTTCTCACTGTGATTGATGGGGTGTTTATACTCTTGTCCCAATTGTATGGGTAATAAAAGTGAGGCAGGCAATTAGACAAAAGGATTGAGGGATTCAGTCATGAACTGAGCACTGAGCCCCTCTGCCAGTTCTTCATGAGCTGTGTCATTCTGGGTAAAACACTCACTGGAGGAAGGGCCCACAGTTTTGCCTTGGAAGCTCAGTGTGTCAGAACCATGACTATTCTTCTCTGATTTATTTCAGGCAAGCCCAACTCAAGGTCCAACCCTCTGCAATGGGAAGACACCTATGGAGTTGCCCTGATCTCCGGAGTGAAGTATAAGAAGGGTGGCCTTGTGATCAATGACACTGGGCTGTACTTTGTGTATTCCAAAGTGTACTTCCGGGGTCAGTCCTGCAACAACCAGCCCCTGAGCCACAAGGTTTACATGAGGAACTCTAAGTATCCCCAGGATCTGGTGCTGATGGAGGGGAAGATGATGAACTACTGCACCACTGGCCAAATGTGGGCCCGTAGCAGCTACTTGGGGGCAGTATTCAATCTCACCAGTGCCGATTGCTTATATGTCAATGTGTCTGAGCTCTCTCTGGTCAGTTTTGAGGAATCAAAGACATTTTTTGGCTTATATAAGCTCTAAGAAAAGCACTTTAGGATTCTTTACATTATGGTTCCTTATGACAAGTCCTGAGAATGTTGTCTTGATTGAGGATCTTCTTAAGCCCACGTAGAGTCAAGTGAGAAGACATGAGCCAAGAGGACCTTGAGACCATGGGGCACAGCAGGTCTTCAGTTCCTCATCTCTTCTGAGGCCCATGAGCCAGACAGAAAGAGAAACATTTCTGAAGAACACAGAAACCTGGACTGCCATGTAAAGATACAGAGGCATGGAAAAGCAGCATCCAGGTGTTCTACATGTATCTTAAGTGGCCAAGAGGACATTGCTAAGGATTCTTTTAACTCAGTTCTGGGAATGGCTCTTCTTACTACCTCAAGGGAGACCGACTTTTAGATATGTGGTTATATCACAAGTATATGTGATAGAAAGGGAGGATGAGGCTTGCATAATAAGCTATAAAGACTAAAAGAGGCCAGTGCCCATCGACAGCATCTTTTTAAATGCATAGCCTGAACCTCAGGTGATGCTAACAGAGAAGCAAGAGGGATCTATTGGAGACTCAGTCTATT